ATGTGATAACAAATGCCTAGTTTTTAAAAGTGGAATCTTTTTTAAAAAAATTTTATTTGGTTACCCATTCCCCATCATCAACATCATTCCCTATCCCCCCAGCTCATGCTGCCTGTTTGTATCCTTCCATATAATTGTATACAGAAAAAATCTTTAAAGATACACATATTACAGTAGGGTATCTTTTCCCCCCCCCTCAAAAAATTGCACTGTTATAACTGCTTTTCTGCAACTTGCTTTTCTTTTACTCAAAAGTACCTTATGGAAATCTCTGCAGTTCATTCTGAATGGATGGATTGTAGTGGTGTATTATAATTTATTCAATCATTTCTCTGTAGATGGACATTCCTAATTTCCAGTTTTTTCCCCACTGTGAACAATGCTGCGATAAACATCCTCATGTATATATTGTATATTTATTGTTATTGATGGCTTTGTTTTTATGGATTAGGTTCCCAATAGAAGACTGCATGGTGTGGGGGGAGGGGCAGTGTGTGCACATGCTGTTTTAAAAAACTTTACTGTAAGTACACCTTAAAATCTTTATTGAAATTCAACATTCATAAAGAACACATAGGCAGAAAGGTAAAAATCACATAGTTAAATAACTTCATTAACTTTCAGGGAGTAAATACATCTTTGTAACTAGCACCCACATCAAATAGATTACTATCACCTCAAAAATTCCTCTCATGCTCCTACTTACTAACTCCCTCCTATAGTGAGTATTATATGGACTTCTAAAACTACATATTAGTTTTTGCTTATTTTTGAACTTTATGTAAATGGAATTTTTAAATTTAACAGATGTCAGATTTTTTTCCCTGAGAACTTAAAATACTATATTTTAACCCTCAAAGTGTAAAGGAATAGATACCTTCTACATCTCATCAGTAACGTCACTGATCTTTTGTTTTGTTTTGTTTTCACTGTTAAAATAATTTTCCTAACTACAAATTTGAGAATTTAAAAAACTTATTTGCTAGCTATTTGATTTCATTTTCCATAGCCCATTCATATTCTTTCCATTTTACAATTAGCCTGATTCTTATCACCTTCTAAAAGCTCCTTATATATATCTTTGTCTTTTACATTACAAATTTTCCCCAAACCTTCTGTTTATTAGCTTTGTTTATGGTATTTTTTTACCATATAACATTTAAATATCTGCATAGTCAATATGTCTGTTTTATAGCTTTAGGATTTTCTTACTTAATGAAAATCTTCCTTGTCCTTGGCCAGTCTCAGATACTGTAGCTCTTCAGGGTTTAATTTTAAGCTCCCTTCTTTTTTTTTCTGTACAAACTCCCTAGCTGATATCATCCATTCCCATTGCTTTAACCTTCCCCAAATGCTGATGATGCCCTTATGTATAGCTCCAGCCCAGACCTTTGAGCCGTAGTAACATGAACCTCACTGTTTACTGTCAGTGAGGGGTGTGCTAAATCCTAGGGGATACAATAGTATGTGGTCCCTGCCCTCCAAGCTTGTTCGAGAAAGGAGATACTGTGTTAATTTAGAGGGACGACTGGGAGATTTGTTAATCTCTTGCAAATTTTGGACTGCTATAAGGGAAAGGCTACACCCAAAAGATTAGTTCCAGAATATATACAGAACTACGACAAATCTACTAGAAAATGTCAACTCAATAGGAAAATAGGCTAAAGAAAAGAAAAGGTAGTTCTTGGAAGAGAAAACCTGAGTGGCCAATAAACATATAAGATAATCAACTTCACTAGTCATCAGAGAAAATAAAATGAGATACCATTTTTTTTCGGGGCATCTGGCTGGCTTACCCAGAAGGCTGTGCAACTCTTGATCTCAGGGTTGTGAGTTTAAGCCCCACATCAGATGTAGAGATTACTTTAATAAGTAAATACAAATTTAAAAAATAAAGTAAAAAACGATTATTAAAAAACCATTAGATTGGCAAAATTTTAAAATCCTGACTACTTTAAGTGTTGAAAACATGAGGAAAAGAACTTCTACTGTTGGTCAAAACTTAAAATGGTACAACCACCTTTGAAAGCAATTTGGCAAATACCTAATAATGAAGATACACCCAGTTCTACCTCTGAGTATCCTTAGGGCAGTGCTTCTCAATCTCAAAGAGATCTTCTCAATCTTTGAGATTGAGAAGCGCTCAATCACTACAGGGCCTTGTTAAAACACAGATTCTGGGGGCACCTGGGTGGCTCAGTGGGTTAAAGCCTCTGCCTTTGGCTCAGGTCAGGATCCCAGGGTCCTGGGATCGAGCTCTGCATCGGGCTCTCTGCTCAGTGGGGAGCCTGCTTCCTCCTCTCTCTCTGCCTGCTTCTCAGCCTACTTGTGATCTCTGTCAAATAAATAAATAAAATATTAAAAAAAAAAACAAAACACAGATTCTGATTCAGTAGGCCTGGGGAAGGACCAGAGATTCTTAATTCCTAACAAGCTCCTAGGTGATCTCATTACTGTTAGTCCAGGGACGCACTTTAAACAGCAAGGCCCAAGAGAAACTCTGATGTGTCCCCTCAAGGGACACACATAGAGATGTTCACTAGAGCACTGATGGTATTAATGAGCTTCTGAAAAACTACTGAGGTGAGTGGATGGCTAAATTCGTATGGTTGAAAGCAAGAGTTAAAAGGAACTGGAGTTACACATGTCAACCTAGATAAATCTCAAAAACAATGTTGAGAGGGGAAAAAAGGCAAGTTGCAGGAAAGATACATAGAATAGGATATTTAACATTTTAAATAATACTGTTTATTGTTTAGAGATATATGCCTATATGGTAAAAGAATGTAGACTTGCATGGGAATGATAAACATCCAAATCATGACAGTGATCACTTGGGCAACATAGGGGCCTCGGGATAGGGAAGGCCTATGGCACTTCAGTACTGTAATGCTTTTGTTATTAAACTGAGTGAATGGTACCCCCAGTTAAATAATAATAATACAACTGGGATGCCTGGATGTCTCAGTCACTTAAGCATCTGTCTTGGGCTCAGGTAATGACCCCCCAGGTCCTGGGATCAAGTCCCACATTGGGCTCCTTACTCAGTGGGGAGCCTGCTTTTCTCTCTGCCTGCTCTGCCTGCTGCTCTCCTTGCTTGTGCTCTTTCTCTCTCAGACAAATAAATAAAATCTTAAAAAAATACATAATACAACTATCTGTTACATTTCTATTTTTTGTACATCTGCAGTGTATCATTCAACAACTAAAACAACAAAACAAATAGGCTAGTTTTTTAAGATGAGGAGCCTGAGGCTCAAGAACTGACCCTGTACCAAACTTCAAATCCAGGCCATGTTCCTTTTACATCACCATGCTGCTTTGCACTAACAAAACAAACATGGGTTCACCGAATCTGAAGCAAAACTACATCCCTGGGTTTGGTTTCCACAAAAGCCTGAATCAAACTGTATCCTCAAGTGTTTGCTGTGGGATGCAATGCATAGGTTTTGATCTCTAATAACTAGAATTCAAAACAAAGTGCCTAAAAACATTTGTTTTGCTTTTGGACATGGTCTAAAACATTTTTTTGGTGTCCCAGGTAGAATATGGCCATTAAAAGCAGCCCATTATTCAAGAGAAAACAATACCCAAACACTTGAAAATAAATATGAGTTTAAGGAGCCTCAAAAGAGTGCCTCTTTGTTCATCTCCTGTTTTTCCACAGGCAGTGAAGCAGAGCCGGGGGGTGGACAAGGGAGAGCAGGGGGGCATTTCTGTCAAGGTAGTCTGTGGACCCACCAATTGGGAAGAATTGAAAAAAAATGTTAGAGGAAGCAAGTAGTTACAGGCTAATTTTAATATGCTCTCTCTGCCACCTAGCATGTTGCCTGCCTGGCCCAGGCCTCTTTGAGGCACCTTTCCTCTCTGTTCTCCTCTTAGTTCTTTCCTGGTGCTTGAACCTGGTTGTGCCTCTGTTCTGCCCCACATCTCTTAGAAGTACGTTAGTGGCAGGGAGATAGTAGTAAGGTGGGTGGGTTTCAGTGTCAGAAAAAACCTGGGTTTAAATCCTGCCTGTGCCACTAGTGAGAAGCTCAGTAAACTTGAGAAGGCATATGCAGGCTAGTGCCATCCAACGGAATGTGGGAGGATGATGGAAATGTCTGCGTCCACACTGTCTAATGTGGTTGCTGCCAGTTCCAGGTGATTACCCAGCACTTGAAGTGTGGCTAGTGTGATGGAGGAATTTTTTTAACTGTATTTAATTAATTTAACTGAAATAGCCACATGACTAATGGCTCTCATATTGGACAGAGCAAGTCAAGAAAATGAAGAACCCCTCCTCTTAGAGGATCACGGTGTTGTAACAGACATGAGACACCCTGACAAAAGGCCCTACTGGTAAGCGATATCCTTTCCTGAAAGACTGTCTAAGCAGAGCACTGAGTGCATAATCTCAGGCACTCACCTTCCTGAGGAGGCCAGGCCTGCCTCACGCTGCTGTCACCTCCCAACACCAGATGCAACTCCACTTTTCCAGCACTGCCTGAGGATGCAACTGAGGCAGTCTGGTGTAAAGAAGTTTCCTTCTTCCTCTTGTTCTTTTGTCTTCACTGTGCTGATTAAACAAAATGACTACATTTTCAGAAACCCATTTTTAATTAAATACTTACATGACACTATTTGGTATTTCTTTAAGTTTTCAGACAGAAAATGTTTCTCATTTTCTCCAGGTACACTAATCATATCATTATGTACCAAATGCTTTAAACTAAAGAGACAATCTACCTGTATGGATTAAAAATATATGAAGATAGGGGCCCCTCGTGGTACAGTCGGTTAAGTGTCTAACTCTTGATTTTGTCTCAGGTGATGATCTTTGGGTCATGAAATCGAGCCCTGCATCAGGCTCTGTGCTTCGCACAGATTCTGCTTGAGATTCTCTCTCTCTCTGCCCCTCCCCTGGTTCATGTGCTCTTTCTCTAAAATAAAAAAAATTTTTTTTTCAATGAAGATACAAAAAATACCCATTTTTAGAAACACAGATCAAGCAGCACCAATTTTATTTTATAGCATTTATTATAGTAAAAGTTCCTCTTGTAAAACACGAGTGATTTTAGTCCATATCTTATTTTCCATTTGGCTTTAAAACACTTTACATTATTTACAAAATAAATTGCAATTTTTATGATTGCACATAATTTTTTTGACCCTTGGAATATTACAGTTTCAAGTAACTAAAAAATAAACACCTGGCAGAATAAGTGTACTGAAAAGTACATATTGAACATATTTAATTACCACAGTAATTTAAAAGTGTTGATCTTTACATCTGAAGATTAAAATTCATTATCATGAAGTCATTCAAGAATCTCTGGAATTTCTCTATTATCCACAATGAGACTATGGATAATCCCTTCTTTCCGCTTCCCACTACTGACAGCCTTTATGTAACAGTCATGGTTCCCAACACTGAAGTGAGTTTCAGTCCCGTCATCTACAAACTCACCCTAGGCCAACAAAAGAAGGAGGAATTAGTGTTCCAGAAACATTTATCTTTGTCTAGAGTATCAACACAATCTAAAAAGGGTGGTATAATGAACTATCTATTGGCTAAATGTTAGACTTGGGAAAATTAAAGTCAGAAGCTTGTATTGCTAGATGCTTTTCCATGTCTGCTGTGAACTGAACATTCCTTATTTGTACCCGCTTACTATCTTGAACAATCTTAAGTTTCAGAGGGAAAAAAAAGCCCTTATGTTTTATGGCTGTGTGTCTATAACATGCACTATGAGACAACACTGACTACTAAAGTACAAATGGGAAGCATGATCGCCAGCACTTACTTTGTACTGAGTCACTTCCTCTGTATCAAGAACAGTGGGCAAGCATTACTTCACTGCACCTTCTTCATAACCTGACAGTAGCACTATTACTCTCCTCACCGTACAGACCAGGGCATCGAGGCACGGAGTAGCAAAATAACCATCAGGAAGGGATAGAATGCTCTCAGCCCACTCTGAAAACCCAATTCCTCAGAATGCAAGGTGACTTACAGTAAAACACACAGATAACAAGACCAAGCACTACCCAAGCTCGCCCTGTTCTGTCTGCTGCAGCAGCTACCAGCCGTGTGTGGCAGTCAAGCACTTGAAATGTGCTGAGTCTGAAATGCCATGTGCTGCTTCATTGCAAAACAGACACGGAGTGTGGAAGACTTAGAATGAAACAGGAATGGAAAATAACTCTAAAAACGTTTAATATTGATGTTAAATTATAATATTTTGGATATATATCTATGGCTCATATTATATTTTTACTGAACAGGAGTTAATCTAGAGGAAAAAGATAGGGGCCAGGTAGTGCAGAGAAGAAAGGAAGAACAGGAGGCTTTGAGGATGAAAGTGGAATATGCCAGAAAGCAAAGAAAGCACAACCAGGGTTAAAACTTGGCCACGAGCTTCCTGGCAGCTGGACCTGACCCAGCGAGGCCCCACAGCATTACCCAGCCTGAGAGAGCACAGGCTGCACCAGGAAGAGCTTTTTCTGAGCTGTGGGGAGAACCTGGCCCATAGCTCTTTACCGGAGGAGTACTGACACCACCACAAGACCCTGTGGGTGCAGAATTTGCCAGATACATAATCTTGGTCATGATGCTTTGAGATGGAAAGATAAAGGAGGAGATAAACTGTAGTTCACGGGCAGCAAGAGCAGGTGAGCACCTACTGGGGAAGGCTGCCCACATGCGGAGCTGCAGAAACTACTCTGCGAATTCAGTTTGAGTTATAGTGAGGAGGCAACTGGGTTATAAAGGGCTATTGTCCAAACACCTGTGGTTTCCTGCTAATTACTGAGAAACAAAGACATTGTATAAGAACATGACTTTGAACTTCTTATTTATTTACAACCACATTCTTAATATCACAAAACATCTCTTTACACTTGCACTGGAGAATTCCTTGAGTGGGAGGGAAGAGGATTCAAAACTGCCAATTTGGCATCTAGAGAATTCCAGGGAAGGAAGGAAAGGACAGGAAGGACCAGTAGGTGCCTGATCCATGCTAATGATAACTGAAGCTATTCCATAGGGGCCATAAAACACTGAAGAGCTCTCCAAACCTCTCTGCATAAAAGAAGTCTGGATCAGTAGATTGAACCCAGAGAGCTGTAGATTTAAATCAGTAGATCTAACCCTGCTCAAGCTCTGGCGATGGATTCTGAGTGAGCCCTGATTCAATAACCCTTCAAGAATTCAAACCAGGATTAAGAAAGAGAGAAGTATCTATTTTTGTAGCGTTTGATTTCTGGCATAGGCACTTCTTCAGAAGCAGACAGCCACAAGACCCAGCAGGCAGGTCCGAGATAGCAGCTGAACAAACTCATCCCAGACCTCTTGCCCTCCGCGCACTGCTCCTCACCTTCCTGCACCTACCCCAGATGAAGGAGACAAGGGCAGCACCCACCATGGACAACTAGCTAAACCTGACTAGAGCAGAGTGGGTCCCATTATCTCTAGGCCTGGTGTTCATGTTGGAAGCCAGCATGAAAGGTGGGGACAGAGGATAGTACCTCTGGCTTGCCAGCAGACTCCCCAGCCCTGGCAAATTTCCACCCAGGTACTGCAGCTCCCAGTCCCACACTCCATGCTTCCCTTGATGGTGTCCTCTGCTTCTACTTGCTCCCTGTGCTATGCACACCACTATTTCATTCTCGCTGAAATCACTCCAAAAGTCATCCCACCCATGGCCATAGTGGTGCAAGCAGCTGCCAGCAAAGACCAGACACTGTGGGGCTAGATGTGGATGTCATCATGCTTGGCCACAATGAGTGTTCTACATTGTGTAGAACTGCTGTTCTACACATTCCACCTGCCTTCTGGGGTTGGTGACAGGGCCCTTTTCTATCTGCCTTTGTGTCATCTGACATGTGTATATTCCTCCTTTTTTAAAAATGCCGCTTTTAGAAAAGTCCTATCTGCTTTGAGGGTATGGTATAAAGCCTTCCTATTTCAAGCATGACCCGTGGGGCAACATACAGCATTGGTACCAGGGGAAATGTTAGAATTTGCATTTTAACAAGATCCCACGTGATTCCTACGCATGCAGGTTTGAGGAGCTGTGGAATGAAGCCCAACCTTAACTTGGACAAACACAGGAGGACGCCAACCTCTGTGGGGCAGTTTTTGATGGATGTGTGAATTCCTTTTAGGACAGAGCCTGGTGCAGGAGAGGAAAGGCAGCATGTGAGCTGGGGTCAGCTCTCAACAGAAGGTGTTTCCAACCCCTCCCTGCCCCAGGTGCTCTCCTGGAAAGGTCTCCAGAATTTGGAGTCAGGAGTACTTCATCTCTTTCTTGTTCTTAACCTAGAGGACCTCGGTTAATTATCAATCTCCATCATTAGGAAACGCAGCAACATTTCAGCGGCAACCCTTACCCATGGCACTAAGAGTAATCAAAGGGTCAACTTACTGCTGTCTCCATTCTTTTACCATTGCACCATACATCCATAGTGTCTTTTTCTGTAAAAGTAACAACAACAAAAAAAGTTATAATCTATGACTCAGACATAAAATTAACTCTTTATTATTTTATTTATTTATTTATTTATTTTTAAAGATTTTACTTATTTATTTGACAGAGAAAGATCACAAGTAGGCAGAGAGGCAGGCAGAGAGAGAGGGGGAAGCAGGCTCCCCACTGAGCGGAAAGCCCCATGCGGGGGCTCAATCCCAGGACCCTGGGATCATGACCTGAGCCGAAGGCAGAGGCTTTAACCCAATGAGCCACCCAGGTGCCCCAATTATTTATTATTTTAAAAGAAGTTTGATATACCGGACTTCTAAAACTCCATTAACTTTTCATGGCTTTCCAATTTTTCTAAAATTGAAGAAACTGTTTACTCTTGGTTCACAAAATAAAAATGAAACAAAATAATCTTTTAAGAAATGATCAGGGCCTCAGCACAAATGGATGAAGCCCTATTGAACAAAATAAACACTGCTACACAAACCTCAGGATTAAGGGCGCACAGAAATGAGTGTGAGGAGGGCCCTCACCACAGACTGTTGTCAGTGACCAGATAATCCCCCAACGCCTTGCACACAGAGCCCAGTGGACGACGGTGCAAAGAGGTCACCGAGAAAGGCTGCGACAGGGTTCATGTAGGATGGACAGCATTCAGGCTTAGAAATCTAACCTTAAATTTCCTACTGGAGGGCCCAATAATCTCTATTCATTTTTGCAATGATTTCATTTTGGGGAAAAATTTTTGGATCATAAGGAAAAACACAGGCATCCCTGCTGGACTGTGCGGACTCTGGAGCAAACTGCTACCATGAGCCACCTGAGCATTAGTTTAGGTGTCAGGGCTCGCTTTGGGAGGCATATACATGTATGCAAGTGTGCACAGACACGTGTGCATTTTGGGGGAGGATCCCCAGACCCAAGTGTGAATATCAGTGTTCTGGTGGGTGGCGGGGGAGAAGACTGCACTCATCAAGCAGCCACGAGATGAACTGTGGGCATTATAAGAAGCCTAGAATCGGAACCTGTGTGCATGTGAGAAGCCTGGGGGTCAAAAACTTGCCTGCGGGTCATGGCTGAGGTGCCAGGCAGGGGCTTCATTCTAATAGCCTATCTACTCCAGGAACACAGTCTAGTAGGGACTCTTTTCTCCCCACACCTTGAGATGGAAGCCTCAGAGAACGGAGATAGGCCTTTGAACGGGGTTAAAGGAGAGAGAGGCTGAGGGGCCCAGGAGACGTGGGCCATGGTTGCCCTAGTGGCAGCCTGGGGTGCAGGGGGTGGGGGGGCGGCGCATATTAACAGCAGCAGCTGTAGGAAAACCGAGCTCGTCCCAACACTCGAGCAGAGGATACACTGCTGAAGTAAACCATGATGGTGGTGAAGACTGGAATTTATTTAGTCTGCCTACTGAACTCAGACCTTCTATAAAGCTATTATTAATGTGCCTCTGAAGAAATCTAACCCAGAAGACAAAAGAGAAAATTGAAATACATTTAACTACGTAACAGTAAAAAATATTCCTACCTCATTTAAGAAAACACATACATGCATAAGCAAAGTCATACAATAAATGACAAAGTGGAAAAAAATAAGCAAAGCTCACAGCACAGACAAAAGTCTAATCTTACTAACATAGAGAGACTCTGAGTAATCAACAAGAAAAAGACCAACAACCCAAAAGAAAGTAGGTCAAAGGACATGAAGATGCATTATCAGGAAAGAAAAACAAAAGGACCTCAAATGTGAAAAGATGTTCAACTTCACTTAATTTTGAAAAAGGCAAATAAAAACAACTCTGAAATGTCATTTTTCATGTAGCAGAATATTAAAAAAAAATATAAGATCTGACAACATGCTCAGCTGGAGAACCTGTGAAGAAATGGGTACTGGGAGCACAAAACAGTAAAAACACCAGGAGGGGCAATGTTTGACAAACACCATGTGCCTCTTGATATAATAAAACTATAGTCTTGACAAAAAAAAAAAAAAAAAATTTAAACCTAAATTTGACCACTTCTTCAATCAACTACCAATGTATGGGAAATATTGGAAACAGAGAAGAGGGACACTGCCTGGCTGGCTCAGTTGACAGAGCATGTGACTCTTGACGTAGGGTTGTAAGTTCAAATCCCACTTTGGGTGCAGAAATTACTTAAAATAAAAATTATAAATGATATATATTAAAAAAAAAAAAAAGAAAAAGAAAGAGAAACATCACAGAAGTGCTATCAACAAAATCCAGACCCCAGGAAACTCTTCAAGACAAATTGATCTAGTTTCTTCAATAAATAAGATATACAGGAGTTTCTGGGTTTTTTTTTTTTCCAACTATGTGCATTTAATTACTGGATAAACATTTTTTTTTTAAGTTTATTTAAGTGATTTCTATACCCACTGTGGGACTTGAACTCATGACCCTGAGATTAAGAGTCATGTGCTCCACCAACTGAGCCAGCCAGTTCCCCAAACATTTTTCACTTTTTTAAGAAAATATTTTATTAATTAATTTATTTATTTGAGAGAGAGAGAGAGAGAGGAAACTGAGCAGGAGACAAAGGGAGAAAGAATCTGAAGCAGACTCTGCAATGAGCACAGAGCCCAACACAGGGCTTGATCCTGACCAATGGTGAGATCATGACCTGAGCTGAAATCAAGAGTCAGAGGCTTAACCAACTGAACTACCCAGATGCCCCCACATTTTTCATTCTTAAAAAAATTTTTTTAAAAGTACATGGTAGCATTTGAAAAGACTGTAGACTCCTTAAAGGCATGGACATCTCTTTTTCTACTACATACTATAGTATGCTAACTGGTATTTAGCAGGTACTCAATATTATCTAAATAAATGAACCAGTGAATTACTGAGATAATCCAAATGGTCTTAACTTTAGTGATATGAGAAGCAAGAAATACTGGGAGTACCAGAAGAGAGAAAAGATAGCAACTTGTAAATATTTATTTTATAGGCCCAGTAGAAACAACATAGATGGCAATCTGTAACAACAGAACTTAGCTTAAAGATCAATGGCTTATTACTCTTTATTTTGTAATCTACTTTATCTGGACTTTGACAATTTTGAGGTGTTACAGTACTACACTGCTTGCTACCTAGAGAAAAATTCCCTTGTTACTGATCAATCTTAAATTTCTAACTGTCTCTAAACATCATTTTAAAGAGAAGTATCAATAATGACAATAATAGAAATATCAATAATAAATAATAATACATCATTATTTCTTTTTTTAAACTTGTTGATAATCCTCAAATCTATCACTACAAAATCTGGCTCTCATATAAGTCAGTCATTTAAAATATTTTATTTATTTATTTGACAGACAGAGATCACAAGTAGGCAGAGAGGCAGGCAGAGAGAGAGGAGGAAGCAGGCTCCCCACTGATCAGAGAGCCCAATGCGGGGCTTGATCCCAGGACCCTGGGATCATGACCTGAGCCAAAGGCAGAGGCTTTAACCCACTGAGCCACCCAGGCACCCCTAAATCAGTCATTTAAATGAATACTTCGTTCACATGGTACACATCAGAAATACACCTACACATACTTACACTCTCTCTACTCAAAGCTCCTATAAAGGGTCTGGATAGTTGGGCGAACTAATTAACAACGACCATAAAAAGCCAAAAAATTCTGCAGAAATAGCACTCACTTACCCAAAACAACTCTAAAGTCCTCACCATCCAAACGCAATACCCAAGTATTGGTGGTTTTTGACCTGTTCTCCATATACTTCTTGAGACTTTTCCCATTAATTTCCAGAGTATATTCATATGCAAATCCACTGACAGCATCTATATTTATGGTTGCTTTTGTCTTTGCAGCTCCAACGCAGAAGGTTTCTTTGCCCACTAGTTTGAACATCCATTCTTTTCTTATCTCTTCCTAAGTAACAACATATGAAAGTTAAAAACACACAAACGGAAGAAAACTTAATATTTAGCTTTAGAAATGCTGTAATTAAAGTGAGTAAATAGCAATGTTATTTAGATGTAATTTTATTACTTCATGATTCAAATATTTTAGAAAATAAAAGCACTTGAAGTTTAAATGTTACACTCTATGAACTCTATAACTCTTATTAGTTTTCTTTGTCCAGTAACATGATCCAGGCCCAAATATAAAGATAATCAATGTAAGAAAAAGCCTTGAATTTACATATGAAGAAGCTATGTTAACAAATTCAAGCTTCTATGTATGCCATATTCTACAAAGTAACCTATGTCTTCCTACCTTCCCATCTACATATACAACTCGTTTGCCTGATGTGGTTCCATGTTCAAACTCGATCTTATGGACTCCATCACTTAAAGCGACATCCCAAACGGCTACGAGATCTGTCATTTTTTCCAGGCTATAAGGAGGGCTAAGGGAATAAAATAAAGCAATTACAATAGGCCAAAAGCAGTAAGAATATAACAAATTAATCTTTCCAAGATGAAAATATCGGATTTTTTTAAAGCCCTAAAATTATAAGATATTAAAGTGACGGTACCTAAGAATTTCTACTCACAGTACATCTAACTATCTTCTCCCTCTCCCTCTTACTCTTTAAGATGAAACTACTATATATGGATATATAGTCGGATAATTCCAAACAAAGTCACCTTAATATTAATAGGATTAAGAACCTATCCAGGACAGCATTCTAAGCTGGGCTACAGAATAGTGCTTGGAAAGGTCAGTAAAAAGTCTCTACTTCTTCCCTACATCACCATTTAAAAAGCACAGTATTTAATTCTGCTATTTCTTTTTCAGATCCATTCACTCCAAAACAGGAACTCCCCAAACCTTTCATACTTAAACCAGTTAGGATTCATTTTAACAAAAAGGGTTCTAATTTATTATACTGAGAAGTCATAGAAGAAATGTCCTATAACAAAAGAAATAAAAATGTATGGAAAATGGTAATTCTTGTCTTTACTACAGTAATCTTATTTAGAAAATAAAGAATTTTTGCCATAATGCTTTATCTGGCACAACTTAAATACATATTTTTGATATTAATTAATATAAAATATATAATATTTATATCTGTGCCCAGCATGAGTGCCATATATATATTATGTAATACCTATATACAGAATATGTTTGAGCCTGCTCTCTTAACTACATCTTACTCTTTATTCACTCTAATGTTGTTTGTGTACTCTACATCAGAAATGGTAAGTGGATTTTATATCGTCTCGAAGTGATTGCTGAGAACTTGGGGCTAACACAGATTTGGAGACCTTACATCCAGGCCCCATGGGAAAAGATGTGTGCCATTAGCGGCCACCTCCATTCCAGGTGTTTACTACCCTTGCTCTAAGTCACAGAAAAGCAAAACCATCTTGCAATCTGCAAGTTTAAAAAATGTGTCCTTAACAAAGTAGACTGAATAAATAATACCTGAGTGATTAAAACAACCCTGAAAGTTTCAAGAGGTAATTTTATTGCCACGCAAGACATTTACCTTTCATCATCTTCAAAGATAGGACTGTCATCTCCAGATGCCATGGTTGGCAAAATAGTCTTTAATCCAATTAGCAGGCAGGAAAGAAAAAAGCAGAATTGCAGCAAAGAAAGATTGAGAGCAACAAAGAGGACATCTGCAAAGGGTTTTTTTCTAAGTTTGCAATCCATTTCTCAAATTGCATGCAGTTTCTGATGAAACAGCTTATACATACAATAGAATTGCAATCTCCAGTTGTCAGGAAAAGAAATTAAATCATGCAAATTGGCCAATCATATTTTTCCCTGTTATAAATTTATAACTTCCTAAAACTAGAGAATAGACTCTAGTTTATTTCAAATATGATACCACATCAGAGCTGCAAGAGACCTAGAGTTTATTTCAAACGTGATAACCACATCAGAGCTGCAAGAGACCTAGAAACCCAGTCCTCTGGGTCCCACGCTTCTCAAATTGAGGTATAAGAAGCCCCAAGGGTATGAGGCAGTGGGTCAGGGAATACATAAAACTCCAGGATAAACAGTATACATCTTCGGGAAGCATCGATGTTACACGGTGGTAACAAATTTAAAATGCAATCCTAATATTCAGTTTTAGAAGGCTATATATTATGGTAGAATATATAATTTAAAAAATATTTTAGGAGCACCTGTCTGGCTCAGTTGGTAAAGCACATGACTCTTGATCTTGGGGTTGTGAGTTCAATCCCCATGTTGGGGGTAGAGCTTACTTAACTAAAAAAATAAGTAAAAAATTAAAGAAAAATTTGTAGATACCTTCAAAGAAATTACTGGTTTGCAGGAAGCCGCCAAGGATATGCTAGATCACTTTCCAACAGCAAACTTAATTTACCCATTTACTTAAGCCCACTTACTTTACTAGTGCCAATAATGAATCCACAAAATTATGTGGTTTGCTCAGGTCACTAGTAGGGCCTGAGCCAGACTAAAGCCCAGTACTCCCATGCAATTACCTCAGAATTAACTGGGGTGTAATTTAATTAAATTTTACTAAAATCAGAAGCACACATATATTCATTCACACATGCATAGGAAACCCTCCATGTTTGGAGATTTGGGATTAACAGCTGTATCCTTGCCAAACCTACTGAAAAATAACTTCAACTATTTTTTGCTCCCCAGATCTACTCTAGCCTGGCCTTCTCCCTATAGATGTCCAAGTGTGCTCTCTCCTTGTAAAAAATGGGAGATTGCCAAACTTCTTTAGCTGGAAACAGCCAGAAGCCACAAACTGTTTTTAAAAAGATGTTAAAGAAGGGATTAACATTGATAAAAGCAATCCAGCAGCACAGAAAACATGAAAATTTTAGAATAAAAATTAAAGACTCAAATACTTTGTACCTAAAATAAATCCCTCTGTTTTGGGAGCACTTTACAAATTTGTGAATTTTTCTAATCTTAGGAATCCCTAGGGTATCTCCTGTGAAAGTGGAGGTTATCCTGCAACTATAAAAGCAAAGAGAATACACAGCAATAGAGGAAGCCAAATAGCATAATATAAATTTGGATAAGCCATTTTTTGCAAATCAGAGTGGGTTTAGTGATATCATTCAAATTTTGCTTTATAACTTTTAGAGACCCTAGAAAGTTCAGTAATTCATTATTCAAACTTGAAAGAATTGCTCAGTTTTCCATTATAATGAACTTCAATATTGTCACACTACAATAAGGCATGGTATCATCTTAATTATAATAACTTTTCATATATAATATAAAAGACAACACAACAAATTAGAAGGGAAGTGAGAAATCAAGATCACATTTATTTCTTGAAAATTTTCCCTAAACCATCGACATTCATTCATATATTCATTTATTTATGGAGTATCTATCTAAAGTGCTGAAAAGTTTTAGAAATAGTGATGGTTGCACAAAATTGTGGATGTACTTAATCCCACTGAACTGTACACTTAAAGACAGTTAAAATAGCAAATTTTATGTGATATGTATTTCACAACTTAAAAAAATAATATTATAATATACAAAAAGACATTGAATAATATACTTTAAATGGGTGAATTGTATGTATGTGAACTACACCTCAACAAAGTTGCTTAAAAAAAGGAAAGACCCAAGTGCCCTGCTGGTAGTGTTTCTTGGAATGCGACCATTATCTATAACCAAAAGATGATCACAACTGTCCTTGTCTGCAATATCTACCTCACTCATTTGAAAAATGAGAAATACCTATCACACATCTCCAAGTTACAAACTGGACTGAATAAACACATGTCATACTCTAAATTCATTCACCATGTTAATAGTTATCAGTCACTTACGTGCCAGGCACTGAACTGGACACTAAACTTAGTGAGAGGCCGTAGAGACCAAAAGATGATTATGACACAGCCATGGGACAGTCCTTGTAATGGGAAGCAGTAAAGGACAGAATGGGCCCCCAGAGAAAGGATCCCAGCCCTACCAATAGGTGGGAAGGCCAGAGAAGACTGGTTTAAAACTTGAGAGAAAGGAATTAATCCACTGTCATTTTTTTTTTAAAGATTTTATTTATTTATTTGACAGACAGAGAGGCAGGCAGAGAGAAAGGAGGAAGCAGGCCCCCTGCTGAGCAGAGAGCCCGATGTGGGGCTCGATCCCAGAACCCTGGGATCATGACCTGAGCCAAAGGCAGAGGCTTTAAACCACTGAGCCACCCAGGTGCCCCTCCACTGTCATTCTTAAACTCTTACACATATACTTAATTTTCAGGATCAAGTGACCAAACTGAAAAATGATCATTATAAAGAAAACTCCCTTTATTTTAGTACAAAATTTAAAAAATGTAAATGAAGGGGTGTCTGGGTGGCTCAGTAAGTTAAGCATCCAACTCTTTTTTTTTTTTTTAAGACTTTTATTTTATTTATTTGACAGACAGACATCACAAGTAGGCAGAAAGGCAGGCAGAGAGGAAGGGAAGCAGGCTCCCTGCGGAGCAGAGAGCCCAATGTGGGGCTGGATCCCAGGATCCTGGGATCATGAACTGAGCCAAAGGCGGAGGCTTTAACCCACTGAGTCACCCAGGCGCCCCAAGCATCCAACTCTTGATCTCAGCTCAGGCCTTGATCTCGGGGTGGTGAGTCCAAGTCCTGCTTTGGACTCCATGCTGGGCATGGAAACTACTTTAAAAATAACAATAAAATAAAAATAAAATGAATTTTAAAACAAAAATGTAAATGAAAAGGATGGAAAAACAAATTCCATTTATTTCCACTGATGAGGATGATGTCACTCACTTGAAACTTTTTTACATGTCTTGGAAGAAAGCTTTTTGAGTAACAAGGCATCAGCATAATCTTTTTAAAATCTTTTCCCTAGCAGTTCAACGGTCAGTTTTAGAGTAAGACCTAACTATTAAGACATTTCTACTCTTCATCTAAACCAGCTTGAATTTTGCCCTTAACTTGGGTTTAACCGTCCTGGGGGCTGTTATGGTCTGTCCAAGCTAAACCCAAGTCCGTTTTAAAAATTACTAAGATATGGGGCGCCTGGGTGGCTCAGTGGGTTAAGCCTCTGCCTTCAGCTCAGGTCATGGTCTCAGGGTCCTGGGATCGAGCCCCACATCGGGCTCTCCGCTCAGCGGAGAGCCTGCTTCCCTTCCTCTCTCTCTCTCTCTCTCTCTGCCTGCCTCTCTGCCTACTTGTGATCTCTGTCAAATAACTAAATAAAATCTTTAAAAAAATTATAATTACTTATTAAAAAAAAAGAGAAAAAAAATTACTAAGATATTCATAGTTCCCATTTCAGCAAAAGCTCTAGGTAAGGCCAGCTACAAGGTCAGTCTTCAACAAATAGGTGTTGACTCTGTGCGTCCAGACCCATGGGAAGCATTGGGACCTCCAGCAAAGTGGGTCAGGAAGCTCCAGGAGCCAGGTGTCCCCAAAGGCTACAGGAGGTACAAGAACCGGTAACTTTTCTGAGGAGCATTTTTCCCGTAAACCACAAGCCTTACAACAGATCCACTCTAAACAAATCATGCTCAACACACCAGACGTAACAGTGCTCAACGAATTGCTTTTCGTATTGGCTACCCACTGCAAACCACATTCACCAGCAGGGGGGGGAATCCACGAAGTCGCAGTGCGGTCACTAAACACACTGCACGGCCAGCCCGGGCCAGGCCCTGCGGAGGGACGCTGCACTCAACCTGGCGCACGCGAGCGCAGCCCAGGGAGGCCCAAAGGTCGCACAAAAACACGTGAAGCCACGGAGAGCTGCGCGTGCCGCACGCTTAGGTAAAGGAGCCGAGTTACAGCACCTCACGACCTTAGCTCTGCTCAGGCGTCCAGGAAAAAACGGCTGGAATAGTATTACCTTCAGATCACAGGGCCTGGCCAGGAAGGAGAGACCCGCAGGCTGCCCCCCCCCCACCCCGCCCCAGTTCCCGCCTCCGCCTCCGCCCTGGGCCCGGCCGACAGAAAATGCCCGAACACCCCGGTGCCTCACCCGCCCGGCTCACGGTCCGCGTAGACACCGCCCACCGCTTGCAGCGCCCACCGCCGCCGCCGGGAGATGGCCGCCGCAGCCGCGCTGCAGCGGGGACGCAAGGGCTGGGCGCAGGGGCTTCTGGGGCCCGGCCCGGGGCCTCCCCACCTGCGCCGCGGGGCTTAGCTGGCCGCCGGGCACCACGGCAGGTTCTGCGACACGCAGCGCGCGGGTTCAGGCTCCGCCACCCGGGCCGCGTGGCCTTGCTCCCCTCGCTGAGCACCAGCCGCCTCCTCCTCGGAAGCTGAAAGCTCGGCCGCCGCCAGTTGCGAGCGCGCCGACTCTGTGGCGCTTCAGGTCCCCTGAGGTGCCCAGCGCGGGCCACCACCCGCCTCCGAGCGCCGCGGACGCAACCCCAGCCCGCTGCCTCTGCGGAAGGCTTGGCGCTCTCTGCAGGAGCCCTACCTCGCCCCAAACCCCAAACCTGAAGCCCTGGCTGTTGGGACCCGCTGATAGAAGGCGCGGGGCCGGACGCTGGGGATAAACTGGTGGCAAAAACAGACCCTTTGTCTGCTCTGAAGCCACTGGGCAGGTAAATCTGATTATGGCATTGCCCCTTGAAATCTTTTTATGGGTTCTGGTTACTTCTGTAAAGACTCAAGCTCCTTAAGGCACGCGTGAGGCCCCATGTAGTTCTCGAATGATGCAAGCTTTTTCTCTCCATGGGCCTCTGCAGATGCTCTTCCCTCTGCTGGGCACTCCTCCCTGCCTCTTCCCTTAGTTATCCTCCACTTTGTTGTTGAGCTTGCTGTAGGACATATAATTTTTTAAGGAAAATTATCCAGGCCCTGAACCCTTGGAATTCTCCTTAGCCCTTGTCAGGGTGTGCAGTTATTTCTGTAATTTTTGCTTAGTGGGTAACTTAGTCGTGGACTGAGGTTCTTGAAGGCAGGGGCTGTGGCTGCTTGGCCTTCACTCTTGTATCTCGCACATCTTCATAGAGCAGGCTCATAGTAGGCTCTGATAAATACTTGTTTAAGGAATGAATGTAGAGCATGCCTGGGTAAATTTCAGGTGGTTTCCATTTTCGGGGCCAGCGGAGAGGGAGGAGAGTTGTTGAGTGGACCATTTGAGGAGGTCAGTGAGTGGCCCCGGGGACAATAATATACAGACATTTGATGGTATTCTGGTGGGGACTCTGACGGCCCAGAAGATTGGAGGGGCATGGAAGCATCCATGCCCTATTGTGTAATTTCTTCCTCCTGCTTGAGGTTAATATAAAGGATAGTTTTATCTTTAGGGTTGGTAGAGTTGAAGTCATTTCTAAATGCTGAGCAAGTATGTGAGAGAAGGGGATAGAGACACAAAAAGGAACAACCTATTAAGTTAATCAGTCTGCAAAGTAATAATGACTGAATTCTTAAGCAAATTATGTCATACGGATTCTGCTTTGTGAGCACGGATTTTTTGTTTGCAACACTGTACTGAAAGCTTCTGGAAGACAAAGACTTTTCATATTTGTATTTTCTTCTAAACCAGTGTCTTGAGCAGAGAGTTTTCAATAAATAATTGTTGAAAGAGTGAGGTGGGGGGGAAAGGTAAAAGGCCCCAGAGTGGAAATTTCTAGCGATGGGATAAGGCTAGCTGAATGATATTCCTAGATATTTTTTCTAGTCCTTATTTCTTCTAAGAAACAATGCTGAGTTGTTGGGCTAAGATCAGGAAACCCTGGTTGGGGAGCAGCTCAGTGATACCATTTAATGAAGGATCATATTTTCTTGTAAAACTTCAGGCATCTGGATATCCTTTTTAAGACCAGTAAGATGTCATTTATTGGATGCTTGCTATGTCCTTATATATTGTTGCCTGTATTTTCCACAACAGCCCAGTACTTACATTACAGGGCCCAAAGCCCTTCAGAAGTTACAGGGCCAGCATGTAGAGCCAGACGTGTCATGTTAACAGGGCCCATGATGACAAAATGGTTACATGTGCTTGGAAGAAATATCTGGGCCCTTCCTTAGAGGCCTGGGAACCTCCTTTGCCCACAGAGCACTGAGGTGCACTCATGTTTGCACCAAGAATAGTCAGTGCAATCTGATTCCTCAGGTGGCTTGTTCTGTGTCACTGTTTTCTCTTTGGTATAATTCCTAGGATACCTGAATTGAGGAACATACCAGTTTGAGCTACATTTTCCACCTACTCATTCCCGGGGACCATGACACTGATGGTAGCATTAGTCACTTGTTACTAGACGGAACTGTTACGGAAAGAAAGTCTGAAGAAAATACTGTGAAAGGTAGTGAACTTGAGTATAAAATGTGTTCAGTCAAACTGATCCTGCTTTTGACTTGACTACCCCCCCCACCCCCGCCTCAAGGTTATCTCTGTGCCCAATATGGGGCTCAAACTCACAACCGCAAGATCAGGAGTCACATGCTTTCCTTATGGAGCCAGCCAGGTGACCATGCTTTTTTTACTTTATTCTCATTCACAGATTATTTCCTTGTTTCCCAGGGTACCTAGATGCTGTTCTTCACCTCTTAAACTACCTCTCACCAGTTTGCCCTTTGACATCAGTGACTGATTGATTGATGGACTGCTTTTTAAAAGATTTTATTTTTAAGTAATCTCTACACCCAACATGGGGCTTGAACTTAGAACCCTGAGATCGAGAGTCACATCCTCTACCGACTGAACCAGCCAGACCATCAGTGACATAGTTTAAGAGAGTAACAAAATGGGGCGCCTGGGTGGCTCAGTGGGTTGAAGCCTCTGCCTTCGGCTCAGGTCATGATCCCAGGGTCCTGGGATCGAGCCCCGCATCGGGCTCTCTGCTCAGCGCGGAGCCTGCTTCCTCCTCTCTCTCTGCCTGCCTCTCTGCCTACTTGTGATCTCTGTCTGTCAAATAAATAAAATCTTAAAAAAAAAAAAAAGAGTAACAAAATATTTTCATTCACCATTCTCCGTGCTTTCATTCGGCCTCCTTTTGAAAAAGGAATTGTTAATGCATTGACTGATTTTCTGAACTTACTTTTTAAAGAACGTGAATGGAGATCAAAATAAAAGGGAAAAGTTACATAGTCTGATACCAACAAGACTTAAAATTCTCCACATGCCCTTCCAGTATTGGTTCAGCCTGATGACTGGCGATATGTTTAAAGGAAGAAGAATCGGGGCTTTAGAAACAAGCCCTGGGCTCAGAATTCTGGCCTCAGAGGATTGTGTGTCAGAGCCAAAGCCGGTACGCACAGTCTTCTGCTGCTGGCTGCTTAGACATCTTCCCCTCAGCCCAAGGATGCTGTGGCTCTGCCTACACAAACACAGCAAGTGGGGAAGCAGTGAAACAAGGTGATTTTGCAGAACATCAAACAAGAGAAGCTTGACAATTTCAGGAGAATGTAGGCTTTGGTTGGAGTCATGTGGAGCGTGGGGACTGTAGATACACCCTTAATTAGAGCCAAGAGCCAAAGGAAGGCAGTATAGACTCATGTTCCAGTTGGTTAAGACTTGGTAAAAATTTGTATTGTGTTTATTTAGAGAAATTTAAAAAACAGAAAAGTATAGAAATTAATACCCATATTCCTGCTACCTAGAATCAACTGACCATCATTAAATATTGGCTCATTGAAAAATTTCAATGGAAGAAAACATTGCAGATAAAACACTATTGGATTTGCAAGTCCAGCACTATTACTTGCTTGTCTTCCCCCAAGGCCAATATGAACATGAATTTGATGTTTTTTTCTGAGTCCATTTTCTATAGTTATATAGAAATTATATACATGAATAGCTCATACCTGTTAGAATGGCTGTTATCAAAAATAAATAACAAGTGTTGGCAAGGATACGGAGAAAAGGCAACACTTGTGCACTGTTGGTAGGAATGTAATTTGGTGCTGCTACTATGGAAAACAATGTGGAGGTTCCTCAAAAATAGTAAAAATAAGAGTGCATTGGTGGTTCAGTCCGTTAAGTGTCCTACTCTTGATTTTGGTTCAGGTTATGATATCAAGGTTGTGAGATGGAGCCTGCCACAGGCTCCTTGCTGTGCATGGAGCTTGCTTGAGATTCTTTATCTCCCTCTACCCCATCCTGCCCCTCTAGAAAAAAATTAAAAATGAAACTACCATATGATCCAGCAATTTTACTTTTGGGTATTTCTCTCTCTCTCTCTCTCTCTGTCTCTCTCTCTCACACACACACAGACATGAATACTATTATTAAGCCATAAAAAAGAAGGAAATTCTGCCATTTGTGACAACATGGATGGAGCTTAAGGACACTATTCTAAGTGAAATAAGTAAAAAATGACAATACTGTATATGTCTCGTGTGGGTGGGATCTAAAAACAAAACCAAAAGATTTGGTGATCATTAGAGATTGGTGATCATTAGAGGTTGAGGGGGGAGAAATGGGTGGAGGGGATATAAATTTTTTAAGAAAATAATAATGAAGAAAGGTGTTTTGCACTATCCCACTATATTTAGCTTGTCTCTACTATCTTACCTTTTGCTTTCTATTTGTCCCACCTTTGGTCTGCCTTTTGTTCTCCTTTCTTTCATTCTTAAAAGTAGCCTGAATTTTTTTTTTAAAGATTTTATTTATTTATTTGACAGACAGAGATCACAAGTAGGCAGAGAGGCAGGCAGAGAGAGAGAGAAGGGGAAGCAGGCTCCCCGCTGCCCAGAGAGCCCGATGTGGGGCTCGATCCCAGAACCCTGGGATCATGACCTGAGTTGAAGGCAGAGGCTTTAACCCACTGAGCCACCCAGGCGCCCCAAAAGTAGCCTGAATTTTTGTTTTCATATTCCACTTTTTCCATCCCCTGGTTTGGAATTCATTGACTCTATTCCTGTTCTTAGAGAGGCTACCCTTAAAATTTTACATTGCACGCTTAAGAGAGCCTAACCATCCTGCTTCTCCTTTTAGACAA